TCATCAAAGAACAACAACCGTTATGTATTTGCGTAAAGGGTGGAGGTTGGGAGTTTAAGAACTAATAATGTAGGGTGTTTAGTTCTGTTTAACATTATTTTGTAAATAAAAAGGTGGAGGTTGGGAGTTTAAGAACTATTAATGTAGGGTGCTTATTTCTGTTTAACATTATTTTGTAAATAAAAAGGTGGAGGTTGGGAGTTTAAGAACTATTAATGTAGGGTGCTTATTTCTGTTTAACATTATTTTGTAAATAAAAGGGTGAAGGCTTCAACTTGCAGAATTTTTAGAACGGTATTATTTCTACTTTAAGATTATGTCTGAGCATTAAGGGTTATTGCCTTCCAACAATTGGCTGTAGACAGTGAAAGGTAGTAGGACTTGAAACGTTGTGGGTGTAAGCACTCAACTCCTAAGCCTTAACTGATTTTCAATAGCTGCTGCCTAGTTCAACATCAGCATCTAGATTTTGTCTGATAGATGGAATATCCTTAACACAACTAGGACTGATAATGGAACATAATTATTTAATTTTAGTTCTATAGTAATGTTTCATATGTGCAGTTAAACGGCCACATACCTTATCTGATAAAAAGCGTTTTTTGATCCTTGTTTTCGTTATTAAGTTTTATAAATACAACTAAATTTGGTATGCTGTTTAAAATTGAATTAGCTGGCTCTTGGTTTATTTGAAGCATCTGAGGCTTACGTTTGTGGTGTTGTTGTAACCTTACTCGGTGCACGATGGATTGTCAGATCAGTTATAAGAAAAGTAATCCAGAGGAGACGTCTATGACTGGTGATGGTGCGATTTTAGTCATTTGTGTTTATTCTGTTATAATATTGAGTAGTTTCCTTTCTTAACTAATCTCCAACAGATTTCAACTGTATCACCACTATCACATTCCACCGGACTTCCCATTTCTATGACAGCAAATCATGGTTCAGCGCCTCCGAGAAGGAAATATGGGGTATTCTTTCCAGGAAGCTCCTTTCAAACATCAGTTTTAGGACGAAGAAGATCATCATTTTTTTCACCAGCAGAGCAACGTTGCAAAAGCGAATCGCTAAACCTGATAAGCAGTTACCCGGATGTTCATCAGTTTTCTCAGCTGCACGGCTCCTACTCTCAACCGTCTTGTTCTGAAAATTATCCTTATGACAGAGGATATTGTGAAGGTGGAGACGTTTTGTCAACAAATACAAACGAGCACTGTTATAGGTAAATTTCATTTTAATGTTCCCAAATATAGACAAGTTGCAAAGCTTGGCTGGTGAATCGATAGTTGGAAAATATGGTGGAACACTCTAAGCAGAATTTAGATTCTCATGACAAGTATAATAGGATCAAAAGTTTTAAAGATCTAATATAGCATAAAGTCTCATTCCAAGCATAAAGAACATGCATTTTTAACCAGTTGAAACAAACACTCATATCCTGTTTCGCGTCCACCTTTCAGCTGTAAGCCTTCGGATTTACAACGCTAAAATCAGGGGTTCGATTCCCCTCGGTGCCCCTCAGTGGCACAGCGGTATGTCTGCGGAATTACAACGCTAGAATCCGGGTTTCGATACCCGTGGTGGGCAGAGCATAGATAGCCCATTGTGTAGCTTTTTGTTTAATTACAAACAAACAAACAATCCCCTTGGTGGACACAGCAGATAATCCAATGTGGCTTTGCTATAACAACACACACATACATACCTTTCCTCGAAGACTACTACTTATTTCAGTTAAATCGTTTTTTTATGTGTGGTGATTTTATCACTGTTTTGGTTTTAAAAAACAATCTAAGTATGATACACTAAAAGTTATTAAACTGGACGCAATTTTCAATTATCATGTTGTATATATATTTCGACAAAAGACGTTCACCCTAACTCATTTTTTTATAAACTTTATTGTAAACTAAGACGTTGATTTGCATAGGTTTCAACCGTGCATGCTTCTACTATAATAGATTGCGCATGAAAGACAAGATAAATGTATGATATTGTTTGTAATATACGTATTGCTTCTTTATTATGTGAAACAGATTTTTATCTGTAGTTTACAGATTTTATTACTGTCAGTAGTTTTTGAAATCACAAAGTAATAAACTAGACAACACAAGCGTTATCAGAAAGTACTCCTTCTTTCTTCAGGGGAGAACTGGGTGAACGTCCCTGATTCACCCCTCAAGAAATGAAAGACTACCAACTGAACGCGCTCAGATTGCTAGGATTCATCTCTGTTTTGATTCTACACAATTTTTTTAGTATCATAAAAGTAGTTTTTGAATATTTTCCCCTCTACTTTGCGTTGTCATATTTTCCCTTTACTTTGCGTTGTCATGTTTTCCCTTTACTTTGCGTTGTCATATTTTCCCCTCTACTTTGCGTTGTGATATTTTCCCTTTACTTTGCGTTGTCATATTTTCCCTTTACTTTGTGTTGTCCTCATATCTATAATGACTATTTCTTATTTTCTCTTCATGCAGATCTGAACCGAGTACAGGGACTTCCGTCTTTTCCACTGTCAGTACTCGGACAAATGACCAAGTATTTGCCAATAAAAATTATTTTCTACACTCATCTCCTGATAGTCGTGACGATAAAATATTTGTCTTACACGATAGCCTTTCTGAAGGTCAACTTTGTCGACCCGATCGTCCAAACTCTCCTACTTTTACTCCTGCTTCTAATAATTACAGCAACTTCCTTCATGTTCCTAACGGCATGCAAATCCGTCGTAAGTATTCTGATCCTTGTAGTTTATCTGTTGGAGGCAGGGACAGGAAGAAAGAATATGAGTGTAACAGAGGTTATAACGAAGAGTTGTCTTCTCCCGATATGATAAATTATTCGAATGAGAAAATAGACCCTAAAGATCAGTGGCAATCTAAAACACAAAGTAATTCACATAATCAACTTTCGAAAAATTATAAAACAAATTCGCAACTAGTTTTACCAATGTCCGAGAAAAAATTCATATTTGCTGAAAAAAATGATATTGAAACTGAACTTCAATGCATACAATTAAGTGAACACAATTTTCAGTTCAGTAAAGAAAAATCTTATGAGAACTTGTTGGATTTTCCAAAAAAAGGTATGAATTATTTACCTAGCAACAAGCAACTTGCGTCACCTCATCGTATAACTTCAAGGCAACTTGCAGGGTCTCAAATATGTTATTCTGTCAAATATTTTGGTTTTAACAATATTAACAACTGCCAAAAGGAGACTCGGGCCACCAAAGATGTATCACCCAATAACTTCCCAATAAACACGAAATATGACAGTAGCAATTTAAGGCCTTTGAAGTTATCACCTAAAGCAGTGTCATCTTTTCTAGTGCCATCTCTTCAAACAGTGCCATCTTCTCCAAAAGTGTCATCCTCTTCATTGCCATTTCTTCAAACAGAGTCTTCTTCATTAGTTTCACCTCCTACAACAGTGTCATCGTCTCCAAAAGCGTCATTCTCTTCAGTGTCATCTCTTCAAACAGAGTCTTCCTCACAAGTACCACCTTCTCCAGTCTCATCTCTTCAAACAGTGCAAGCTTCTCCAAAAGTGTTATCCTCTCCAGTATTATCTCTTCAAACTGTGCCATTCTCCTCAGTGCCACATCCCCAAACAGTGTCACCATCTCCAGAACCATCCACTCAAACATTACCACTTTCTCCTGAAAATCAGATAAACAGACAAAAAAGTCTTTCCTCAACACAAAATGCTATTATGCCGAAAAGACGTAGTAGGAGTGAAAAGATTAATTCAATATTTTCATTTTGTTCAAATATAAATTCATCAACGAAACCAAATTCATCATCAAAAGCTCGAAGATTTTCTTACTTTCATAAAAGTAAAATTGTTAGTGATGAAAGTGTGCCTCCATCGTCCAATACGAACTATTTACGAAACAGCATTTTCCCTACTAACATGTCTAATTCCCATAGCCATTCATCTACGTTCGGGTGTTCTGCTAAATCCAAAATGTTTCCCCCGACAAAAACTGGCTCTAATTCAAATCTTGAGAAAACAAAGATAGCATCTACACAACCTATAACATCTTCACGTGTAAATGAAACTGAATTATTCAAGTGTTCTAAAGCATCTAATCTTGGCGTAAGTCCAAACTTATGTGATTGTTCTAGTAAATCGCAAAACGTTAACCTGTGTCCTACCTCAGCAGATACAAAAGAAACCAACGAAATGAGGCAGGCTCAGAAAACACCAAAGATTATCATACATGCACCAGAAGAAGAGACAACAGAGTAAGTATATTTACAAATTTCTTTACGTTCGCCTGTGATGCACAATCGAAATGCAGGGATCAAACTTTGAATTTTAATGTTATAAGCCCTCAAAATTACCTTTCATCCACCAAGGGTGATGACAAAAGTAATTGAAAAATGTTTACTGTACTGTTCTTCAATTTTGTTACTGATCCACATTGTATATTTTCATTAAAAACGGGCCCTATGAATATTACTGAGATTTAGATACCTTCCCTTATCCTCATAAGATTTCCAACATCCTTGCAGTGTGCAAAAAAAAATATTTCCTCAAACTCATTTCAGAAGCACAAGATGCACAAGAGACCACTGAGGGTTTCAGCTGGATGTGTGGATTACATGGGTGTGATAATTGTCCTGTGTCGTGAACTCACGAATCGGAAATTAAACACGTGACAATGTGCACATTCATGATGAAGTTTCAGTTTTGTCTTGTTTTATATATAAATATTAAAACTTCTTGAAAAACTATTTAGCATATTCTTAGACATAACTTTCTGTGTAATATTTAACGTAGCAAAATCATGTAACGGTCGTTAATCGAAAAAAATAAATATTTTGTTCATTACTAACCTATTTATAAATTTGGTTTGTGTTATTTTGTTAGTATACGGCTATTTATACTCGGCCCGGCATGGCCAGGTGGTTAGGGCGCTCGACTCGCAATCGCAAACATGCTCGCCCTTTCGGCCGTGGGGGCGTTATAAGTGACGGTCAGTCCGTTGG